TTTTTTTTTGGTCTTGATATGTAGACCACACACAAACACAGAAAATCCATTTGTCCCAGATCCCACACTGACAAAAGCCTCAAGATAAACTAAAGAGATGACTGCCGTGTTTAAACCTGTCATGTCTTAGTTCTGTTCAAGCTAGTTTAAGTCAACAGTTTTACTCTTCATTAATCCCTGATGGCCTGTAGCACAACTATGCGACGGAGGTTACTGAAATGGCTTTATATTCACTGTCTTAATCTCTTTGTGCTTCAGAGTTTTTGGTCTTTTGGTCTTAATTCACAATATTATTGCATTCTTTCATCACCATTAAAGCCCAGAATAGCATTGCTGATAGCAGCATGGACCACCAAATAATTTACCGTCACTCTGAACACGTGCAGAGTGTCATGCAAACCTCAAAGCTCTATCACAAAAACAGTTAAACAGATAAGTTAGAAGATGAAAGATATTCATTACTTATATTATCTTCCAGTGTTAGAGTCAGTAAATCGAATTACTGTTTTTGTATCAGTAGACTGAAGCAGGGCCAGGAGCTAGGTCAGCAAGGTTAGGCTTTAACCAATAGTAATGGATGAACCCAATAAGATGTTATTATAAGGAAAAAATGTTTGCAGCAGAAGAAAGTATGAAGTAAATGTGTTTTATATTACTTTCTTATTTGAACAAGAGAATGAATACTGTGAGGTTTTTTTTGTTTTTTGGTTTTTTTTTTTTGGGGGGGGGGGGGGAGTTATTGAACTATATCTCTTTATGAATAATCTGTGAATCTATATGCAAAGAATGAGATTTTTGTTACTAGAAGCTTTTCAGTTTTTGCTTCCAAGTTCCCATGCTGTAGTTCAAGTTCGAGTACTGATGAATCACATGCAAGTAGGCTTTGGCTGCATGCAGTTAAACAGTACTGTATGTGTGGATTACATTAGCCTGATAGCCAAATGCTAAAAGCCACAAAATATTGGAAACTGAGTCATTAGATGCTGAGCGATGTAGTCCAAGAATAGAGTCTCTAATGTCTTTTTGAGCTCATAATTACAAATTGTAGTATAACACACAGTTTATGCAGGCACACACAATATTTCAAATAGTGTCTGACAATAAAGTAGAAACCATCAAGAAGTGAAACAGGGAAGGTATTTAACTTGCAGGAGAAACTGGCAAATAAAGCTTCCTTTGCCTGCATCCTTATTTGAAAGGGGTTACCACAACGGAGACACATATTTGATTTGGCATAGCTT